CAAAATTCTGTCAGAGTCTAACAAACTATACCAAAAAATTCTAGAAAAAAATTGATGAAATATACTATAAAATACTAAATTCATACTACTAGATTATTTACACTCAGCAAAATGTTAGTAGTGTCAGAAGTTGGGATGAAAATATTTTTAAAAATAAAATTACAGGGGCTGGGGATTTAGCTCAGTGGTAGAGCGCTTGCCTAGCAAGCACAAGGCCCTGGGTTCGATCCTCAGCTCTGAAAGGAAAAAAAATAAAATAAAATTACATAGCTGGTTTCTAGTGTCCTTCAGAATATTGCTTACTTGGAGACAACACAAGTATCTTAAATTTTTGAAAGCACACGAGCAAAAGAAGAGACACAGCAGGTGGTTGTGAATCATGATCATAAACAAACACAGGAAGACGAAGCAGGTGACACCGTATGCAACTGAGACTTAAAATAACAAATGTCACAAACGACATCTACAATCACGTCTGCTCTGATCATGAGGCCCCTTAAAACTGAACTTGTTTGCACATTTCTGGCCTTAGGGAAAGTCTATGGACAGTCTAGAAATAAATAAAAACTAGAGTTCAAGGCAAACATAGACTGTGCCTGTTTAGGCCCTTTCCCCTGGACTGGTGTGGGCTAGGAGCTAATACCCCCACCCCCATCCTCAGTGGTGCGTGTTCTGGAAGAACCAGCATACACAGGGACTGCTCGGGAACAGGGTAGAAAGGATGGACCGGGTCTTTCTCTCCCATCTAAGGGTCTTCAGGGACTTAACTGGTTGTCCATGGTTCTCAATTTTCTCATTTGGGAAATAGGGAATATATGAGATGCATTTTGCAGATTCCAATGTACTAACATAAAAACAAAGGTTATGTGATCCTGTCATTATTTTACCCATCAGCCCCCACCTAAGTTCTACTTGCCAATTTTACTGGCTTCTGAATTGATTCGCAGTGCCATTTCTGGATAAAAACATACTTGAGGGTGTTCAGCCATCTGTGATTAACTGTCACAGAATCTCTTTCGATGGTATTAATTTCAAGGTCTTTCTTCTTGACCTTACAGGGCCCTCTGTGACCCTTTCTCACATCTAGGACATAACTATGTACTTTGTTCTCTGTTGATATTTCAGATCCTAGCTTGTGGCCCATTGCTTCAGTCTTTGTGTGGTATTTCAGTAGGAAATATAATACAGGTAATATTCAGCCTCTTTTATTCTTTGAAAATTTTCCTTATTTTTGCTGTATGTGAGGCTGCCTTTATTTCTCTCTTATAAAACATCTACTGCTCTTTGAGGGTTGCATTACTTTAAGAAGCAGCCATACTCATACAATACAGCTTTTGGCACTTTGTAGATTCTTTCTTTCCTGTTTTTTTAATCTTTACCCAGATCATCAGTTTGATATTTTTGATATGAATTCATTTCCTTTTAATTTTTATTCTCATGACAATTTCCTTATCATGTTGCCATGGTAGGAAGGGAGAAGGAGGCTATTATTATTATTAAAACTCAAAAGTGTCTAAGGCAAGGAGGTATTGGAAGTGGGTTGTTGCTGGGAAGAGAGAACCATTCTTTATTCAGGATGTGGCCTCTGGTAGTTTTCCCTTACTCCAGTGGATGGTCCCACGCCATGTACACATGGGCAACAGTGACTGGATTTAGTGGGCTACAAAAAAAGGACACAATTTTGAGAAATAAGGTATATTGGGGAATATGGGTAGAATTGGAGGGGATAAGTAAGGTGTATATATTCCATTGAACACATGCATGGAATTCTCAAAATAATGAACAAATTAAAAGAAATCAATGGTGCTTATGAATGATAGATTAAAGCATAAACACAAACCAAAACAGAAAAAAAATTCCCCTTTTCTTTATTTTAAGATACAGCTCATAATAAATAACAACAAAGAAAAGTCAGGCTTTTTTTTCCCCAAATACATTACGTAATGAAGTCTTTAAATTCTATTTATGTCAGAGCATTAGATATGGTCTAGTTATCTACTGATTTACTGGCATCTTGTTATTGGGCAGGTTCATTAACTTTTCTCAAGTTGAGCTTGCCCATCTCCAGGTAGAGGCATTAATGAAAAACACCCCTCCTAACATAGCAAAAATAGAATCTGCATTTTATTTACCCACAATGCAATGTGTGACATACAGTATGTGCTTAATAAGCGAGAACCATGATATTATACAGCAAGATTTCAGGCTATCATAACATATCTAAAGAATAACCCCGATGTGTGCAATGTGATTCAATGTAAACAGTTACCATTTAAGTCAAATGTTTATTTGATATTACACAGTGTCACAGTTACCTTTAGCTGTCAACTCGACACACATCTAGAGTCATCTTGGGACAGGAAACCTCACTGAAGAATTGTCTACATCGGATTGGCCTGCCCACTCAGATATCATACGTTATCAAGCCTCAGTGTTTCTCAGATGCTAGAGCCCTATGGTTTAACAGAAGATGTCTACCCGAAGATGTACACAGCAGCATTCGGTCAGGTCTGCAGGAAATTCAGAAGCAAAGTCTGAGTGGGTGGGCTCTAAGCATACACCTAGCTCTCTCAATTGCCTTGTGAAGCACAGATATCCAGAGAGGAGCCCAGAAGCCCCAGTGATTCATTGGCCTGGAGTTGGGTTCTAACTGCCTTTTCTGTAAGTATCCTAGTGTCCAGGTACATCACATTACAGGTTCATCAAAGAGCTTAGTCACCAGGGAGGAACACTGTTGGACACGATCAGTCATTTGGCTGGAAACATGTGCCCCAGGATCTATAGAAGGGATGATGGAGTCATAGAAGCATTCCAGATTCTGACTTGATGCTTGAGGATACAGAATCTCAGAGGTCAGTGAGCATGGCTCACATTGATATGAGGTCTAGGCCTCCTCCTCTCTATGTCAAAAATCTGTCCCTAAAATATGCCTGAGTTTCCATGACCAGAATGCTCCACCATAAAAATAAACACCAACATTTTGGAGAACCTTCAGTGTTTATATTTGTAATTAAATCTATCACATACACTGGGCATGCTTTGCTTCCATTCACAGGCCTTTCTGAGAATTAATCTATCTGTAATGCCATTATTGGCATCAGCTTACAGTAAGAATGCTGCACATTGCTTTCTGAGTTCTTTTTTCTTTTCTTTCTTTCTTGGTTTTTCAAGACAGGGTTTCTGGAACTCACTCTGTAGCCCAGACTGGCCTCGAACTCACAGTGATCCGCCTGGCTCTGCCTCCCAAGTACTGGCATTAAAGACGTGCGCCACTACCACCCAGCACTTTCTGAATTCTTTAGTCTGCAAAGTGTTTAGAATGTAGGTATATGATTAACTCAGAACACTCCTTTCTTGGTTTTCTACAGGAAATGTTATGTGCAAGGACGGAGCCCACACTGATGGCACAACAGGAGAAGATGAGTTATTTCAGCAGAGAGGGAAGGTTTTCCACTAGACATGCAAGTCTTCAGAGATTTGCATTTATGTATGTATAATAACTAATTTTAAATTTTAGAACCTGAAATAAATTCTTTCTCATCTCTCTCTATCATCATCATCATCATCATCATCATCATCATCATCATCATCTCTCTCTCTCTCTCTCTCTCTCTCTCTCTCTCTCTCTCTCTCTCTCTGTCTACCTATCTATCATCTATCTATCCAACTTACCTATTCTATATGAATATTTTTCATAGTTTAAAGTGAGCTCAGGATCACTAATATATCTGGTTAACAACACTACAATAGTTTTACCACTGCGAGGCAGAAGAAACCTACTTGCAAATCCTAGTAAGGAAAGCCTCCTTGTCTAGCATAAGACCTGATACAGTGCCTCGTAACCTTCTTCCTGTCCCCACAGTCCCATTGGCTTTCTGGGGTTGTTCTGGTTGTATGTTTCACAAAACAGGCTTTACAACAGCATAAAAGACATTGGTTAGCCCCAGGAAACAAGGGATGGAAGTATTAAAAATCTGACTGCGAAGGCCATGGAGAGAACATGCCGGCACTTCCCATGGTGAGTTTCTCCACCCAGCAGTCCTCACCATGTCTCATGCAGTCTGTGGCCAGCATGGAGAGAGTGAGCATGGTGAGTCCCAGACAGACTCAGTGCTCAGCCACCCTAACAGAAAAAGCGGGGTGCACACAACAATGGGCCTTTAGAAACGAGCCCATCCAAGTGGAATTTTATTTGACAGTTTAAAGTGTTAAAAGAAATATGAGCTGCTAAGACAGAAGAAAAACAAAACCATTAAGTGGTCTTTTATTCTCTCTGATGTGTTATCAACGCACTTTGACAAAGGTGCCAGTTTCTCTGTCACCACACAATGTCATGTCCACATTACATTCCGTGTGCCTGGGAGCCCAGCACAGGGTAATTCATTCCTTTCCTCAGACCAATTGCAGTGACCAAAGTTTGCTAGGTGCAAGATTTTTCCAAAGCTCTGTATTTGGAACTGGAAAATTCTTCAGTTTACTCCAAATGTGAATACTTAATTCACGTACTTTAAATTTCCACCATGCCCTCCACATTCTCATTAACAAGAGACACTTGCATGCCCTCTAAAGTTTCAGAACCTTGGGGACTGGAACAAAACAGATCTAGTATTTAAGGAAAATTTAATGTTTATAAAATATATAGTGTCTGCAGAATTGACATTTAAAGAGGAGCTAGTGTGTGAGATCACAAAAACAAGATAAAACAAACAAACAAGAAAAGAAGAGCATTCAGTGTCTGCCTACTTCATGTCTATACATCATATAGGTTCTGCAAAGTACAAAGGTTTGCAGACTATCCAGTGCAAAAAACATCCAGTACTGGCAGTTGGGTAAGTGTGAGCACAGTCCCAAAAGAGTGCAGACAGCCTAGTCCTAATGTCTATCAAGAGTGTTGAGCATCTAGTGTGCTAGGAGCATCTTGCATGTGTAGAACATTCAGGAGGTTTTGAGTCTGAGTACCCAGCTCTGGAGTGTGGGTTGGGAGTGAGGTGGTAACTTACCACATTACATCCTGCACAGTCAGGCCCATTTTCACAGGTCCTACGGCGGGCTTGAATGCCACCCCCGCACTGGGCCGTGCACCGTTCCCAAGGTCCCCAGCCTGTCCAGAACACGTGTGGCGGGCAGAGCAAATGTTCATTGCAGTATCTGTAACAAGGAAAACCCAGAGGAAAAGGAGACTGTTTAGTGTCACAGGAGGCCACTAGCCATATTGCTTCCCATCCCTGTGCCAGATGTTGGACAGATGGGCATGCTCTGCATGAGAGGCTTTCTGTGTCTGGAGTGCTTGCACCATACAGGAGGCAGAGGGGTACTGGCCATGCTGAGTGCGCACAGACAATGGGATACATGGCAGACAGCGAAGAGGATGCTGAACTCACAATGCAGGATGGAACTTCCTGTGCAGCCAAGTAAAGGAGAAACAAGACAGAACAAAACCCTTCAATAGACACCCCAAAACAAGAGCAAACAGAAAGTATCTAGGTAGGACATTTATCTGCTAGGCATAAACATCAAAAGATAACGTAGGTTATGAATTCAAAGCCAGCACAGCTTTACATGGAGTTTCTTATCTTTCAATCAAATAAGTTGACAATCTTCTGAAGATAAAGAGAGCATAAGCTTGGCCTGAAGGCCCTGACACTTGCTACTTAGCTGCTGTTTGTAAGTTTTTCTTTTAAGGTCTCAGAATAACTTTAAGTGACAACCAGTTAAAAGACCAAAGATTGCTAAATATCTCATTACTATATTTTTACAAATGTCAGGACTATTTTACAGTAGTTAATTTCTGCACTTCTGTACATACATCCACTTTGAAAGTTTTGAAGTTGAGTACCCCAGCTGGTCTCTGGCCCTGTGATGACTTAAGTTTCCTGAGGTCTTTAAAACTGTATGCAATGGAGTGAAGTGAAAGAAAAAAACACACGAACACAGGGGAATGGACTGGCGTTCTACGAGTGGTCGCAGATGCAGAGGAAGAACTCAACTGTGAACACAGTCAAATTTAACAGCAACTTTGGTGATTTACAGGATAATTTACATTCATGTATCCATCTACTGAATCTAAACTTAGCCTCTCAGGAGGATCAAAATATAAGACTCTTTCCTCATATCTTTCTCACAAGGCCATCTTCCTTAAGAAACAGGCAACAAAGATTCAGACCTTTGGGCCTAAGCCAGTGACCTTCCTGTCACCATTGTTCATAACAAGTGGATTTTGTAGAGTGTTATGCAAAGGGAGTCGCAGAGGGATTGCTGAACAGGTGCTCACAGTCTCAGATGAATAAGCAAAGTATCGACACTCTCAAAATGTGCACAGCGTAAAACACCATCACGACTCATAGTGATACTTCTATCATTCACAGGACACTGAAACTGCACTGGACACTCCAATTGAAATGCATTCTGAAGTAGGAAAGGAAAGAAATGGTGACCGGAAACCATGAAGGGAATTGTGTGATTTCTCAACAGATACTCTGGTAAGGTCTGGTGTCTTCCATAGAAACAGATGGAACCCTGATGGAGAATAGGAGATTTTGGGAATGAGTAAGGGTGTGAAGAGGAAAGGCCAAGCTGAAAGATGATGGTGGGATGAGGGGTAGAGAGTGCTTACTGGAGTTTCGGATGTTGATTAAGGCACAAAGAGAGAATCAAGCAAGAAAGGTGACCATGTTGAGAGGAGAACAGAAAGAGATGACACGTGATAGAATGGTCCAACTTCGCCAAATAGTGAAAAACCAAAAAACAAAACCAAGAAAGCCTCATAGAACTCTACGAGCAAAACAGCACCACCAGAGTGAGACCGAAGACGTCTCATGGCATCTCATCCCACTGGTGGCCAAAGCCCCCAAACTTGAGAAGCTCTCTGCGTTCACTCTGGAGTCTGAACCTCAGGGGCGGCCACGAGCAGGAAGAGCCAATGTAGTAAACACTAACCACTGAAGTCTGCGCTGCAGCAATGAGAAAGAGAAACACTGTAGGTTAGCTAGGGTGGCGGTGGAGAAATGGGGAGGATGAGAAGTGGACGGCGCTGGGCATGGTGCGAACATCTTTAAAGCAACTGTGAATGCGCAGAAGAATAGCCAGTGGAGTCCAGAGCCAGCACCGAAGTTCAGGGAGAAGCAATGGGCAATGTCACGGCTTCAGGAGCCTCTAGATACTTAAGTACTGCCCAAGGTTAGCATCTATGAACTTTGACATGTGGAAGAGCCAGTGGCCCTGTGTATTTTTTACTCTTTGTCTTTGCAGTATTTACCCTAGGAAAAATACATGGTATTGCTCTAAAGATGGTGGCACACACTCCTGATGCCTGGGCTCCTATGGTCAATGCCACTGGATACTCTTATAGGTCCACCTGGAGAAGGAGGGACCTTCTAAACAGGGAAGAGAGAGAGAAAGGGACAGAGACAGAGAGACAGAGACAGGGAGACACAGACACAGAGACAGATGTAACACGAATTGCGAAATGATCGTATTAATAAAAAAAAAAAAAAAAACCTAGAGCCAGATATTGGGGTGAAAGCTGAAAGATCAGAGAAGCAGAACAAACCACAGCCAACCCTGCCTTGCCAACTCCTTAGCTGATCTGTTTCTTCAGACTGAAAGCCTCTGAGTCCTCATCCGAATCGATCTCAGCTGAACTGCTTTATCCAGTGGCTTACCTCTACAAAATCCTCACTCTAATGAGAGCAACTTCCTGTTTCCTCATGCCTTGTATACCTTTCTGTGTCCTGCCATATTACGTCCTGGGATTAAAGGCGTGTGTGCTTCTCATTCATGGGATTAAAGGAGTGTGCCATCACTGCCTGGCTCTGTTTCCAGTGTGGCCTTGAACTCAGAGATCCAGACCGATCTCTGCCTCCCCAGTGATATGATTAAAGGTGTGTGCCACCACTGTCTGGCCTCTATGTCTAAGCTAGGGGCTAGATTCGCTTTATTGGGGTGTACAATATATCACCACAGACACATAATCAGAGACATAAGATATATATATATATATATATATATATATATATATATATATATATGGATGGATAGAGGTGGGGGAGGGAGAGGGAAAGAGAGAGAGAGGTCTCTAGGTATAAAAGTGAATTAAGAGAAAAGTAAGGACTTAGAATTTTCTTGTAGCAAGTCTCTAAAGAGGTCTGGAGTAACAGGAAGTAAATATTCATGTATATGTTGGTGCTTGGAGAGTTCCAGGAAAGAGCTGCTATTTATTTTGAGAACAGGTTTTGAGGAGTCAAGAAAACTCAGAACATTTCACATTTAATTCAAAATATCCACATGCAGTTCACAAGAGGGAGAACAAGAGAAAAGAAGACATCTCACACTTATAAGTCAACTCACTGATATTTTAAATGTATGAGTTCTTTATACTGCTTTTTCCCAGTTTCAATTTTCAATGAATATAGATGTGGGTACTCACAGGCACACACACACACACACACACACACACACACACACACAAGAAAAGGCAAAGAAAATCCTACTAAAATGCCTATAAAACCCCTGACTTTTAATAAAGAGCACAGTAGCTGTGCTACCATTTCCCCAGAGCAAAATAAATCAGCGTGCACAAATACTTTCTTGTATTGGCCTGCAGCAGGCCACCTCTGAGAATGCTCAGCATGTTGTTACAGTTAAAAATCTCCTGCAAGGTTACCTGTGCATGGAACGCTGGACTTTGAACTAGTGTTAACCAACTATCCCTTGGGCTGGGACTTAAGGCCACCAACAACCCACTTACCTTTTCTCTTTCTCGCTCTACAGTTCTCCTGTGAAACAAGCTACACAGAGATTTGTAGAGACAATAGCCTGTAACAGGAATGGTCAGAGGGAAGCAGAAGTGGCTGGGCTATCTCTTTATGCAGAATTCCAACTTAGTGGGGTTGGTTAGAGGCTGGACCCTGCCAAGGCCCCCAGTCTGGATTCTCTTTGATGATGAGAAACATATTTTCTTTCTGTGCCCCCTTGCTTTACCCACGCTCCCACAGGCAACCTCCTTAGTGAGCTGTACAAGCAGTAGTGAGAGAAGCAGCTACACTGGTATCTCTGGCTGCTTAGATCATTATTAATTATGGATAAATATTTGCCCGGTGGGCCATCATTTGGTTCCCATTTCCCCAGTCCTCTGGCTTTTAAAACAACAGGATAAACAACAGGATAATGTCTTTAACATATTCCTGGCTCTATCAGGCCAAATGTGTCTGAAAGCAGGAGCCACAGACACATTTTATGGTGCATTAAAAATTAAGATTTTAATTTTTTCTCATGACTGCTGTTATTTTACTTGTAAAAGCTTACTAATAAACTAACATTGTCTCTCTATAAATCATCGATTTTTTCCATAAACCTACTTTCTCTAAAAATAATGGCATTTGTAATTCCATTGAGGCTAGATTCACAGCACTGACACTGTCTTCTTATATTTCCTTCTAATCGGGTTGAGCCTACGCTAGCTCCTCCTGACAGTCTGCGAGCCCCACCTCACTGAGGCCTCTGAGGAACTGTTTTTCTTAGTTCACATTTCCTGGCTATCCCTTCATAGGACCATAGAGGAAGAATTAAGTCTTTTTTGGCACCAGAGAACCATGCATGCACTGAACACACCATGAGCTTTCAGATAGCACACCAGGAAAGAGTGGTAACTCTGGTATTAAGGCATCACTTTAGCTCATCACAGAACAGTAACATTTCCAATAAGATAAGAATAAGATACATTCTTGTTAGTCCCTGAGCCCCTTAACTTGATGACATATTGGGCAGTCTCTGAAATGAGCTCACGCTCTTTACCTTTCAGAACTCACAACTCAATGTTCTCCCCAAATATGGGTGAGGCGTGTCACTTACAGGTACCAGGACAGGCGGCTGCCACTTCTGTGGTTATGTCACATAATATTACAATGGCTTTATTTCAAGAATGCTTCCCTTTCTGGCTTTAAGGAAGCAGACAATGGGGTGAGTTGAGGAGGAGACAGTGGCCTCAACTTCAGATACACCAAGAAACTGAAGCCCTCAGCCTGGCAGTCCGGCAGACATGAAGGCTAATTAAGGAAGGCTAATTAAGTATAATTAAGGAAGCAGACCCTGGTCTACGTGGGCATCAGAGGACAAAGCCATGGCTTCTTACTTCAGCCTCCTGATAACCT